AAGACATCCTACTGAATAGACCCTCCCAAATGCACGCAGTAGAAGAATGCGTGTTTCCAAGGCAACCCTAGCCAGCTGTTGTGGAGGCTTGGCAGATATCTTCTTCCTCCGGATGGTCAGGAGAGTGTCAAAACCTGCTGTCCGTCCTTGCTGGGGGGGGGGGGGGGGAATGCAGGGCCGGTGCTCTATCCCACACCCCTTTCCAGTTCCTCTCCCCAAACCAAAGTCTCTTTGGTTTCTTGTGTGTCTCCCTTGTGCTGAATCAAAAACCTTATACTTTCATGCCCCCTGCCATTTTGCTAACCCTGTCTCCTCCCCCAGCTGTGCCCTGGTCTCTGCTCCAGGCAGTGGGGGCCTTCTGGAGCATCACTGAGAATGCCCCCCCCCCCATCCTCCTGGGATCCTGCCATTGAGGAAGTGGATATTACTTTATGCTGCCCCCTTGTTCATCTGCATTTCATGATCTGTGTGTCCCAGTCCTTCACCATGGTGTCCCTCTCACTGTCATTGCACCCACCCGCTGAGCGCTTGGTGACAGTCTAGAGTGCTGACCGGCGCATTTCTGCAGGACGGCTGATCCTGTACTGAGACAAAAGGCACTGCGATGTCCCGTATGACTCTGTCCTCGCAGAAAAGCCTCTAAACGGAGAGGTTCTCCTTCCAAACGGCGTGATGACGGCTTAGACGTCGCTTCAGACCACAGAGACGGACGACGGGCCTCGACTCTCTCGAAGAATCGGGGGTTGCTATAGCGATTCTCCTGACTGACACGTGTCAGCGTTTACTGACAGAGAGGCCCATCTGGGAATCACGGGTGGTTTTTTTGACACAGCCGGGGTGGGGGGGGGGGGGGGGGGGGGGGGGGTTGTGGAAATACTGATGATTCCATAATAAAAGTCTCTGACTGGAACACAAACTATGTTTGAATTCCTGGAACATTTCTGGGGAAAATGAAGGATCGCGCTAAACCGGCCAGGTGTCTGAAGGTCATTCTGTGAGAGGTGTTTACAAGGAGACTGTGAGTTCAAAACCGGTACCGGTAAACCGTTTTAAACTCAGGTACCCAGGAGCTATTTGGGACACGGCGGTCTCCTGTTTGGCTAACCCCTGTCGGCTTGTGGTCCTTCGGCAAACTTTAAAAGAGGACACCGCGGAACAAGAGGCCCACTGGGGTGGGGGAGATTACAAATCTCTGCTGTTACTCCTGAGGGTACATACCAGCTTACGAGACAGAGGCCCAAAGACCAAGCAGGGAAAAAAATATAGATACACATAAACATATACATAAAAACTGCACCTAACCAATGAGGACATTATCCAATCAGAGGCAATCACACCTGCACACCTAAAAATGACTGAAAAACACTGGTTCACGTTCTTTACAGGTCGAACTTCTAAGCTTTATCTGTGTGTCTTGGAATGTCACCATGGACCCACCCATATCTTCCTCTTTGGGTTTGTCTAATACATTATAAAAGGGTTTGAAGCAAAGCCAGAAGCAGGGGGGGGGGGGGGGGGGGGGGGGGGTCCTTACAGATGGAAAAGGTTTATCAGGAGGTGGAGTCGGGTGTGGGTGTGTTTCGGGGGGGGAAGGGTGGTGGCTAGGGTAACTCGTACTTCTAGGATGAAAGCAAGCAAGATTTAGACATAATAACAGGGTTTCTTAAGTGTCACTGAGCTACTGTGTGGTTAGCTTTTAAAAAACTCCAAAAAGAACTCGCAAAAAAAAAATCAGTGCATGCAGTGGAAGCTTATTATTTCTGCAAACCATATTTTCCAAATAAATGCGAGATAGCATCAGATAAGATGATGTTCCTGATTTTCTTCTCCTCCATGTTCCAAAAAAAAATAAAAATAATGTACACATTTCCGCCAAGTGACGGAGGACAGCTGAACGGCTCCAGAAATGTGCAAACGTGACGCCGAGGATCTGTATGACTTCTGGCAGCCGCATATGTGCGCATTCCTGCCACATATGCGCGCAGACGCGTCGGCTCGACACCACCTTGTGCCGCAGGAAATGAGATCGGGAGATGTTTAGGATGCCGAAATCGCTAGAGGAAGATAAAGCCCCTGTACGTCGGGGAGGCGAGTTCTCAGATCCGGCAACTGAGAGAGCTTATCTGTAAGGCACAAAGAGGCCAGGCGGGGGCGGCAAGGTCAGCTGACGGCAGGATCGGGTTTCGCAGACAGCCTCACTCATTCAGTGTCCTCTGACTCCGGCCTTTGTCTGTCTCCGCGTCCCCCTTTTGCTGTCCCAGCTCAGCGGTTTCAGTGGAGGTCCGTCCTGCCACGATGACGGATCACGTTTCAGCTCTGTTCGCCGATCCGTCCTGTTCCTTCTGTTTTTTCTTTCTTCGGGGATCACAAGCTTCCCTTCACCTGGAACACTATAATGCACTTTTCTCAGCAGTCAAAAAAAATAGAAATCACTGCCAGCTCTATTTTTTTGCGAATTTAACTTGGTTCAAAACAATAATCAAAGAAATGCATCAAACCAGCTGAGAATCACTGCTTTAACAGATTGAGGGGATAAAAAAAAAACTGAAAATAGCATTAGTGGTCAAAATGGTGGAAACACATCAAATTTTTAGAGACTATAGAACTTTTGCTCCAGTTACTTATTTAATGGCCCAATGTATGAAATTTGTAATATTGTTTTTAAATATTACTGGCAATACTTGTGTAGTTAATTTAAAAACACAATGCAAAAAATGCTAGGTGTTTCCACAATTTTGACCAATAGTGTAGATGCTTTTCGTTTTGATACATGTGGTGAAAGTAAAACTGGTTGTGCAGTTTGCTGTCATGGTGCAGCAGGTGGGAGGGGGGTACTGACTGAGGTGCAGGAAAAAGGCTAGTTTTAAACTGGTGATGTAATCAGCTAGAATTTTCCTGTGTTTTTACCACACAAGCTGGGTGCTACTCATTAAATGGGCTAAATCTCATCATCTTGATCCCATAAGACCCAGTCCTCACTATAGCCCCCCATTGTCAATCAGCAGGACCACAGACAGGGGCATTCCCAGAAACCAAAAATGGAAATAGCAGGCAGAGGTCAAAGGTCACTGACCACCTGAATTTGCTTTTAGCCTGGCTTTAGCCACCAATATGCCAATATGCCAATACTACGGAAACTGGTCATGGCCCCAAACTATGGGGCGTAGCACAGTATAGAGCCTTTTAGCCAACTTTCATGATGGAATATCCATTGAGGGCCAGTTACATCAAAGGTCACGCCGATCTTTAAGGACCCAAGCTTAGTGGGACAGTTTTCTTTATGCTGTTTACAATGTTTGCCTGCTCAAAATGAAATACAGAGGGACAAAGGCAGCTTTCACATGGACGCAGGTTCTTTTCCCTCCGGCCCGTTTGATGACCGGAACTGGTTTCCAAGCAAAATAATTTGTTTTCGTTCTTACGTCAAGCCGTGCCCTCACGCCAGAAACAGCACCCCCCTCCAAGGTAAACACAGACAGGCCCGCACCAGCCGGAGGCTCCCCCGCCCGCCCGAGTCCGCTGACACAAGCTGTTTTCGGAGATGTCCGTGAAATAGCACCTCTCTGTCACACGGGAGCAGAACCAGCAGAACATTCTGCACAGTACACATCCCTTCGCCCTCAGGGCTTCCATAAGGCTGGGATGTGATGTTGGATTCGGCGGGGCATGCCTGCTCATAGGACCAGCTAATGCACACATTCCTCAGATATCCCCATAATTCCCTATCATACTGGACTGGAATTCCTGAATGGACACTTTGGGATTTCCATGGTCGTGAAAACAGACTGATGGTTTGATGGATTAAAACATTAAAGCGTTTTTTATTTTTACTGTTCCACAGGCAACATTTGCATCACTAGGTGCCTGAACAAAACACTCAACAACAGTATCATTGAGTAGATAACAGCTTCAGAGTAGCTTTGCAATACTTAAGTTCCTTCTCTCTCCTCCACCCCCAAAGACATGGCTGATTCTGCCCAAAAGCCCTACAATCTCTCCTGATGGTGTTCCTTATCCGTGTAACTAGAAAAAAAATATGGCGAAAGGACTGGGGGTTACCTGTATTCCAGAGCTGAAAATCTTGTTTAAAAAATGCAGTAAACTCAATAGCAAAGGCCTGTCCAGTGCACTCATGCAAGCATGCTGCTGACACTATAGATTTCCTGCATGTAATGACAAGTATTCTTCAGTGGCAGTATTTTGAATATAGAATAGAATAGAGATACTTAGTGATACGATAAACCAAGTTAAATATTTGAACAATAATGGTGTGAGTAATAGATGCATGTTCAATGAACGGTCTTGCTTTGAATAACCACCCAGATGTTCTGTCCAAAACGACAAGTGCCTCAGACTCCCATTGCTGTAGAGCAAGACCTTCACCCCAAGCTCCATCCTCATCTTCCTGTCTTCTCTCTGCTGCTTCCCGGCTTGGTTGGAGTGGCAAAAGGAGGAACAAAAGACTCCCTGACACGTTGGGGAGAGAACAGGCAATATGGGAATATAGTCTTCCTTCTGAGTCCCCCCCCCCCCCCAAGGTGATCTCTTTTCTGAGAGGTGGGGACTCAGAAGGAAGACTAGAAGAAGACCAAACCCAGGTCTGTCCCAGGAAACAAGATTTTCTCCAAACTAGAACATCGGATTTGGTTGAGTTTCATCTACAGTACTGTCCTTGGACTTGATGACGTGTCAGACCGGACCTGTGTCTAGGCATGGTTGGCTGTCAAAGCTCACACATGGCTTCTGCAAGATCGGACACACCGCACAAGCCAAGGCGAGCCCTGTGTACGCGTGAGATGCCAGAGGCACTCAATTCCTTACTACCTCAACTTGAATTTTGCATTACAATGCAAGATGCCACTGGATTTCACGTTAACTAAAGGTCAACAACCGGGATTATCAACCATGACCGGCAGACACAACCAAGCAACAATCACCGTACAATTATAAGCATTTCTCTCAATCAATTTCTCACAGCAGGTGCTTCCTGCATTGTCGTTGAATGATTTTACGCTGTGGCGACCACCGGCACCTTTGCTACTTCAGTGGCTAACAGTGGTGTTTGTTCTTCCCCCAGAATCATGCGGATGTGGCTGATCTTCGCGCTGTGCTTGGCTGGCAAGGTGTTGGCTGCCCCGGTGAGAGACTGTCGAGATTGGATTCCCGAATGCTGAATTGCTCCCGAATTCCACACATTTCACAAAGACAAAGAAAGATTTATATAGCACAGAGAAAGGTCATAGATGTAAAATATACCATCATCTAAAGTGACTTAATCTTTTAGGTCTTTGTTCTTCTAGCTTTGTAAATATATGTTCATGAGACTTACCATAGGGCAGTGGTCGCTAATTGTCTTTTCTCGCTCGTTTCCAGACTGAAGAAGAGAAAATCTTAGTGGAGGTAAGCAAAGTGGAGGATCCATTAATTGTGGGATGTTGGGGGCTAAATTTTGCCAAGGCTGGTGTGCTCGAAAGTCCAGGACCATACGACTTTCCAGTGGAAACCCCATGCACATGGACAAGTGTTGATGTGCACTGAAAGGGGCCTGAATTCCCATCCTGTGGGAGACTCTGAGTAAACGATATAGGGGTTTGTCCAATGGTCTTTCCCACACACTCCCCCAGCAGCCTTACTCCAGAAAACAGTTTAACCCCCCTCCCCACACTGCAAACCCTGCTCCCTCCCCTCCCCAGTCCAGTAACAGGCATGCTCTCATGCTAAGAGTCTCACTTCATTTCCTGCTGAGGAAAATGTGAGCAAATGCAGGATGTCACGTGTAACCAAGAGTAGAGCCACGACATGTTTGTTTCCTCACTGTCTGTCCGCTCGGATGCCTGAGCGGTTGCCCGGGTCCCCTGGACAATGCGAGCAGGGAAACCGGACCGTTTACGCGCAGTGCCTGTAAACCAGTTCTCGCCTTTCAGCTCAAAAACAAGGTGTTTGCAGAGAGGTGGAAGAGAGCAGGCCTGCCATTAACGTTTTGGTTGTCCCCTGTGTAGGTGCAGGATATGGAAGTGGGCGCAAACCCAGTCCAGGTGGAGACCGGAGAGTTTGATGAGGCCATTGAGGTCGAGGAGGGTGTTGTTGCAGAGAGTGAGTTTCAGCACCGATGTGACGATGCCAGGTTTCCCCCTGTTCATTAAGAGATAAAAAGACCTCTTTAAAAACCCTGATAATGATTACAGCCTGGAAGATTCTATTCTTTTAGCCTGTGAAATAAACAGAAGATGCACACTTTAAAAAGATATCTGTCCATGACATAATGCACAAAACACTTCAGCAAGAGGTCAAAAATTTCTGAAGATTTTAGAAACATTCGAAAACCTCTGCACATTTAACAGAAATGTGGCAAAACATGTAGACCAGTGAAACCTAAGTAATGAAAGACTGCCTCATTTAAAATACACACAACTATAATTATGCGCTTTACTCGGCTATACATTTTTAGGGAAGGCAGTTTTGAAGTCTTATTTATTTAATCACAGACTCTGCCCACGGCAAAGACAGCGAATGAAATTTCTTTTCGGGAGCTATGAACGTTCTTCGGCTTCAAGTAGAAACATATAATCATTCCCTAAAATATAACCGCATTTTCCTGGTGCAGCTATCTTCACCCCCATTTGTATGTCCTGCATGCAGACCCCTGCCTCAACCACCACTGCAAGAAGGGCAAGGTATGCGAGCTTGATGAGAGCAATACTCCGGTTTGCGTGTGCCAGGACCCTTCCACCTGCCCCGAGGCCACAAGCGAGTATGAGCATGTAAGTACTCCATGGGAGTGTCTATCAAACCGATCCTCCATGCTTTTGGTGCCTCTCATCTCCCAGTAGGGAGCAAAAATGTGGACTGTCTGGGAGGGAGCAAAAATGTGGACTGTCTGGCAGGGAGCTGGAATGGTGCAACAGTGTAGACCGTCTGAGGGGTCCCAGAAGATCAGTTTGCGAAACACTGCTCTACAGAAATGATGGGCCGGACCCCGAAGATGGGGACAATGAATGGCCACTGGTACCGGTTTTATCTGACAACCTGGCTTACGACTTGTATCATTCTAGTCACTAGTATTCGTGAGTCAGGTGTCCAGATCCCTTGATCGGCAGCCAACATCAGATTTGCATCCCTCTCTGTCTACACTGCCAAATGCCATTCAGGTGAAGTCAACCCACTAAGACCACAAGCTAACCTACATTCCCCAATTAATGCTCTGATTCCACTCAGGTCTGTGGCACAGACAACAAGACCTATGACTCCTCCTGCCACTTCTTCACCTCCAAGTGCGCCTTGGAGGGGACCAAGAAGGGACACAAGCTGCACCTGGACTACATCGGGCCCTGCAAATGTGAGTAGCATCTGTTTCAGGGGAGTCTGGGTAAACAGAAGCCTACAAGGAGATGCCCCTAGCAGCAAGTACAAAGCGCCTGAGAAAGATATAAGGCTGATCGTGGAGCCCTGACTGCATCAGCACTCTGGCAGAGAGGTTGTTGGGAAGGGCTGACAGACCGACAGGCCCCTGGAGGGAGGGCCTCTCCTTCAGGCCGTGGCTTGTCTTGCATTTTTTAACACAAATAAGGACACAGACCTTAAGATACTCAGTTTAGGTCACAAGTAGGTCACTACTGCAGCCTGTGAAAAATTCCTTTTCATAGGCTGTAAGGTATCAAATCCACACAGTAGGAATATCCTTGAAATTTGTACAGGAAAGATATCCTGTAAAGGAAGATATCCATTTGTTCTATTAGCCATGGGTAAGATGACCTGGCCTGACTCAAATGCCGCTCAGTGGATGTTAGCTCGTAGGTGCTGGCAGTCATCTTCACACGGCCCTTTTCCCTTTTGTTTTGCGTCGGCAGACATTGCTCCCTGCCTGGATAATGAGCTGAGCGAATTTCCCCTGCGTATGAGGGACTGGCTGAAGAACGTGCTGGTGACTCTTTACGAGCGCGATGAAGACAACAACCTGCTGACCGAGAAGCAGAAGCTCAGAGTGAGTTTAACTGCGACCCCCCCCACCTCAATTTACCTAGTGGGACTACTGGCTCCCTTCTATTACATTATGTATTTCACTTCTCCGCCCCCCATCAGCTCATTGGTGATGCTGGCCACTCCTTCTTTATCTGGGTACAAGTTCCATTCATGTGAAAATATTATTTACCACCTTAAAAATCCATCATTCTACACAAGATATTACAGATGCTCTACAGATGTTACTCACTGAATAAAAGGACCATTCAACTGTTAGCTCAGCATGTTGAAGAATGCACTGTTCACCATTTGTGGTCATAAAGGCTATGTGCACCATTAATGCCTTTCCATCTCGCACATAGGTGAAGAAGATCTACGAGAATCAGAAGAGGCTGGTGGCCGGTGACCACTCCCTGGACCTGCTGGCCCACGACTTCGAGAAGAACTACAACATGTACATCTTCCCAGTGCACTGGCAGTTCGGCCAGCTGGACCAGCATCCTGTTGACGGGTTTGTATTCCAGTTACCTGCGGCTCGTGCCTCTAATCACATTGCGGACCTTTATGAAACCCCCCCCTCAGACAAAGCGCCTGGGTCACGTGATGTCAGCTCCCATAGTCTTACCCACAATGCAATTCACGCAGTGTACCTAAACACACATTGTATAGCACTCATAATACTAAATGCCCCCATCCCCCTTCCTGTGTGTCTGTCTCTGACACAGGTATCTGTCCCACACTGAGTTGGCTCCCCTGCGCGCCCCCCTCATTCCCATGGAACACTGCACCACCCAGTTCTTCGAGCAGTGCGACTCCGACAATGATAAGTACATCGCCCTGGAAGAATGGGCCGGCTGCTTTGGCATCAAAGACCGTAAGTGATGCTACCCTCTCGTTCAGGTTCAACCTGTCCGTACATCCGTACATCCGTACATGGACAAACACGGCAAGACTCGTCTGTGTCCATTGATTGAGAAATACACGCGCGCACACACTCAAACACTACCAGTCAAAATTTTTGCACATACTGAGATAAATAAATTTACAGTATATTCGCCATTTCAGTACCTTTATTAGCAAGAAAATGCCATACCTTTGATTCATCAAAGTAACCTCCTCTAGCAGTTAAAACAGCAGAGAAAATTTGAGACAATCTTTCTACAAGGGACATTCAATTCTGCTCTGATTCATAGAATGAAACCGTTAACTAATGCAAAGTTAAAGGACAGCCTAGAATCTGACTGTGCCATCACCACACGGCCAGATTATAAGATGTCAGAAGGAAATTTGGTTTATTTGAATTATATTGTCATTTATAGTCGTTCACAATGCTCAACAAGAATTAAAAAAAATCTGCAGTTTTTTCTGAATGGTGATGTATATGGGTTATATTCTTAAATGCCTTGTCTGTGGTAAAAACCACATTTTGATCAAAAAGTCTGTCAGAATCCATTATGGTGATAAGCCCTTTAAAATACTGACCACGTGGCTGTTTTCTGTTTTTCAGAGGATGTCGACAAGGACCTTGTCATCTAAATATAGGTCTCTAGAGATTCCTCCATCTGCGAGATGAGGTGCTAACCTTAAATTAAAAGTGCTTCAACGGTGCTAATCCTTTCCTTTAACAGCCTATACCACTAAAATGTAAAAAAAACAAAAACAAAAAAAAAAAATGCACAGATCAGCCTAATTGTCACCCAGCGCAAACAAACAAGCTTCCTTCCAGTGCTTTCTAAATCTTGCTTGTGCAAACAGATTCGTCAATTAGTTGGAGGGAGATGGAGAGACAGATGGTGCAAAGGTTGGGTGTCGTGCCTTTGGCTCAGATGGATTGGACTGTGTAAGTCGTCAAGTAATGATGGAGCTCCAGGAAAACGAAATTTGAAATCCAGAATGATATTTTCCGCATAATCAGCGCTTGAAATAAATACAGTTCCATTTGGCAAGAATTGTAAGACTAAAATAAAATTTCCTAATAAATTTTCTTTTCTCTTGCTTTTAAATACTTTTTAAGTGTTTTTTCCTGTTTTGGTGGTGGGTTAATTTTTGTCCTTGTTTTATTTGAAGTGTAGCCCTGTGTGTGTCATGAGGGTTTTTTTTTTTCTTTCTTGTTTTTAATAGTTCCCTGTTACGCAAACAGGCAAGATGTTAAATGTTTTCAAATTTATACCAATAAAAGGACACGTTCTTCAAACCATGAGAACCAAATCTCGCAGGTTGAGATTTTTCCCACTTTACAGTTTGACTTTGGCGACAATGTGAGCAAGCTAATAACTATTAACATCAATAAAACAGTCTGTTGGAGAAAAAATTTCTGGAATGCATTTTAAATTCTGCACTTCATCTATTCACTCCCCTACTCTCTGCAAAAACATACCCACAACAAAAAATAAACGTGGTAATACCTGAAAACAACTGGGAAGAAATACAGCATTAAAAAAATAATAAATATTGTTTTTAATTGCAAACCTTATGGATTTACAGTAGGCCCTATTGAAATGTTTTGTAATTGTCACATTTTTATTTACAAACTGGCTTTTCCAAATTTGTTTTAACGCAACTCCTTACATTTAAAAAATTAAAATAAACAGGCCAAATACAGTAATTATGCATTGATCCAGATAATGTCTGAAATTCTGGGGAAAAAAATGGCTGACTGCACGTGTGGTTCTGGTGAATTAAATAGTTTCAAGACAGGAATTTTTATTAATTTAGAATTATATGAAGTAGGCCTTTGACTTCGTTTTTAACACAATATCTTTTTCCTAAATGCAACAGTATTATTCATTGCTTTGTACAGTAACAACTTTCTGATCTAGTGAAATAGGCAGCGCTTAAATGTCTACTGAGCTTTTTTGGGACGGAAATTTAAGATGTGAGCCAGAAAGAGTTTCGGTTCTGGGTGTACCCTTTTTGTTCCAGTCGGTCTGAGCAGCTGGGAAAGACATTGGGACAACAGGAAGCAGGGACCGCTGGTGCTAAAGGCGAGCCGTCCTCCGCACCCGGTTACCAGCTGCACCTTCTGCGCCAGACGCTGCAGCCCCGCCCAGCCACAACAGGGCTGGGAGGAGACAGAGAGCCGGCGCTGCCTTCATCATCGGCCTCACAGCCTCACACACAGCGCGATAACCGTGAAATCTTACACTTTTCGTTGCGTCATGGGATTCCCAAAAAGCTGCAAATGAACGAATCCTATTTTCAGTGATATTTTGGTATAAGAAATATCATTTTCTTAACTACCCATGAATATCAAAGTAGGGCAATGTCTTTATTTACAAAGTGTAGGTTTCGTTCTTGTAGTGTATTTTTACTGATTAGAATCATACTCATAAGTGTCTTTGCACGGTGACGTGCCGGCTTTTGTCAGGGGGATTACAGGAAAAAAATCCAGTGTAGTATAAAGTTCATCTTCATGATTTAATAGAAAGTTTAATGAAACAAGTTACGCGACCATAACTTAAGAAAAAACATCTTTATTCCCGGTAAAGTTCTAGCAAAAACTGGAGTTAAGACCTAAAAGGACATAGTTATTCGGAATAATTAGAAACATCCGTCAAATGTCTGAAGAGAAAAACACTGATCTGTATTCCTAGGGGGGGTAACCAGTAATGAGAAACTAGCAGCCGTATCCGATCCCACACGTTATTGTAATGCAACTCTACTGCAAATATCGAAAATGTGTTTTAAAAACATATCAAAATATGAAAACTACACGCTCTGCAGCTTGCGAGCGTAAGTCGCAGTTCCAAGGGCGTCTTGCCCAGTAAAATCACTAACCGTGATTTTTCGTGGAATAAATACGGAATCGCAGTTCCTGCTCTGTTTACTGTTATTCTCTGTTATGAATCGGAGTAATTTTCACAGTCACCATGCTCAGGATAAGCATTTATTTTGCTAAACACGTCGTCAAGAGCCGCCATTATCGCAGTCTGGAAAAATGCAATCCATAAAGCAAGAGGATTTTCTTGAGCAGCTGCGTTGCGGGTAGGTATACACAACTAACTGTCACGCTTATTTTAAAAAAAGGAGCTTTACGTTGTAAAGGTGACACCATGGGTGTAAATTACTGAGTGGATTGGGGGGGGGGCACCCAATACACCATTCCCCCCCCCCCCCCCCAAATAATCACATCGTCATGATTAATGGGTGGAGATCTCAACCTCCCAAATGTTAAACGCCCTTGGGCTATGTGCTTTTTCTTTGGCCAGTAACCTGATGCAAACTCTCATGGATTTTATAGCTATTTTTCCAGGCTTAGATGATAGGATGGGATTGATTATGACAAAACGTTACCGCCCCCTTTCACAATTAAAGACTTACTGCCATCTGGTGGAAACTTTGTTACATATCATGAAACATTTTGATTCTTTCTAGGTATGCCAACATAAGGATGGATGGACGATTAAGTTATCGACTTATTTACAAATCAATTTATGCACTATGCATACTATTACTTATAAGCAAAGTTGTCAGACAAATGACTACTTAAAATATATTTAACCATATGCAAGTACTGCAAGATAATGAAATATTTCAGAAACGGTGTTTTTGGATTTAGATCCCTCATACCTCCTAGTCCGAAGACTGCTGTTGTTGTTCTCGTTAAAAAAACGGTCCGCTATTGTTTTCTCCTAAAATAATGTTCTGATACAGGCCACTCAAAATTACCATCAACAAGACGTACTGTACTTTGTTTCAGCCACGCTGGGAAAGGCGCTTTGTAAAACTATAATGAATTGAATTTATTTACTGAGGAACTGGAGTGCTGTTTACCTATTGGCAGTGCACTAACAGTACAACCATATCTACCGTTGTAGCTAAAAATGTGCCTTTGTCTCAGTGGCAACGGGAACTATTAAAACGTAAAATTCTTATCCATTTCATATTCCTTGACAGGAAAAACAAACGATACAATACCGTATGAAAGCCTACAATATAAAATATATTGAATGTTAAAACAGTATTCTGCATAAAGCAATGAGTTCCAGCGCAACTGACACATAAATCGTTTTAATTGCTCTTTCCCAGATACTGCATGATTAAGCTGCCCATCACTACCACTGCTTTTGCTCACTGCACGTGCCAATATACAAGCCAAATGGTGCCACCTAGAGGACAAACTAACTAATATAATGCTTCCAATATTTTAATCCATCTCCAGGCAGCACAGGGCACGAGACTTGGGGTAGACCCTTGATGGGACAGCAGCCTATCACAGGCCACAGGCGCTGATCAACACCATATAGCATAACTGAACGTCTTTGGACAGTGAGAGGAAACTGACACAGCACAGGGAGGACACGCAACGCCAAAGACAGGGCAGAAGTGGGATTAGAACCCCCAACCAGCTGGCCTTCCATTATTTCCCCATTTTGCTGACTATAGGGAATATTTATATTTAATCAAAATTAATCCGGGGCTCAATTTAGTTTCCATCCGTATATAAGACTAATCTGTTGTTTGGGTTAATTGTACTTTAAAACTTGCCATAAACTTGTCAAGTCAGTATAACTTGTACAAGCGATCAAAACAAAAACATTTTTTTACTAAGCATCAAGTATAAATCACGCGAAGTATTAGTATATGTAACCACACCAGCCCCATCTCCAAAATCAGAATACTTCAATTATGACGGAGGAAATTGCTTAAATCTCCACGACACAGAAATGGGTCCAAGAGTTTGTGTCACTCCGGTTAAAGAAGTACATGACTACTCTGTAGCATGTTCACAATGAAGCTGACCAAGTAAAACCTGAATCATCACCTGCAATGGCTACACATAGTACAAACACTCAATCATAGTACAAACAAAATCTCCCCAAGCAATATTTAAACAATTGGTCTGACACAGTTCCCTGTAAAATGTAATACAAAATATCCACAAGTAAACGCGCCAAACCACCTTAATAAATAGCAAACTGCATATCTTTTATCATTTGTAACAGTTTCATTTTGAACCTGCTTTTACCGCGAAACTGTGACTAACCCGGCCAGGAAAGCGGGCTTTCGGCACAAACTATTCTCTAAAATCAGTAGAAGGCGGGTTAAATCCATGATGCCCACTCCTTTGCCTACGTTAATCGTTTCCTTTGCACTTGCGATTGGTTATTGCTTTGTGTCTGGAAAGAAACTTGCTTTATTCTTTCCAATCGGTTGACACGTTCCAACACATCGCTCCGAAGCCGATTGGCTGCTTTTGGCGTCTTTGCGCGGAACTCCGCTCTTGATTCGCGAAAATATCGCAGCCTTCTTTCTTCATTGGGGCGCAAACAGGACGTGCGACCACAATATTAGGTTGTATCTTCAGTATAACTGAAGCCGGTCGAGCACGCTCTTAGGCTGCCGGAATACAGTAATCTTACTGCCTGGAGGTCGTGGGTAAAGTGCTGCCCATATCAGATCTTATCCTCTGGTAAGATTATTTATTTATTTGGTAATTACTTTAAAAAGAATAATTTTCTGCAAAGGCAGACTCCTATTCAAGAATATTCCTGGCATATAGTCCATGATATTCTCAGTACGGTCGAAATACGTTCAGTTCTAAATCGAAGTGGCTAACGTTATTTAATCCGTCTTGAGTTAATGATAGTTACATTGCTTTCGGCATTATTAACTCAGTGGTTAAGTCACATTCGTTTTGGTAATCGGTGTCCAGCTGTAACTGCTTTAGGACATGTAGTAGTTGGGTAATCTCAGATACGCACCAAGATAGATGATCCCAATCTAGACCGGCTTGTATTTACTTTTTTGAATTTGAACATCGATATATTATTTAAATGTTAAGCTTGAGACGCCCAAACGGCTGCCTAGTTCCCGGAACGACCGTACGTGCTAAGTGGTTGTAGCTGTTCAATTGTGGATTTTGCTTTCTGTGTGTGTGTATATATATATATAGTAAATTTGTCTAGAACCTATTTTTGGTTGCTCGGTCGAGGCGCGTGCAATACCGCACGGGGAGTTACAGGCGCGCGCGCTTCGGCGCGGGGTCGCCGGGCTCGAGGCCGCACTGCGAGCTCGCGGCCGCAGGAAACATGGCCGCTCAGCGTCTCCTCCAGGGCCATGTGCTCTGTGCCCCGGCGACGGTCTCCGCTAGCCAGGCGCACCGGTGCGTTAGGGCCTTTCTTTTACGAAGCGTGGCCACGTTTCGAAATACGGAAACGAGAGCCGGTTGATTGATCTGTCCGTCCTGTTCCAACGAATCAGCGGACGGGCGGCTCGGTGTTCCGCGAACTGGTCGCCTTAGCCATTTAGTCACCTAAATCCGGTCCTTTCTGATGTCAGCTGATTGCTTTCTAGAACGTTCTTCTTGGTGTAAATTTTTAAAACACAGCTGACCCGTTTTTAACCAGGCAGCCATTTATGGTCAAGCGGTTCCGGTTGTACATTGCACTGTGGTTGGGCCGGGGCCTCCTCCTGTTTCGGATGTCGAAAATGGAGCTTCCTTTGTTATAGATCTGTATAGTTGCTGCTCGCAGATTGTCTTAATGAAGACGCAGGACTACGCCGTATCTCCCTCGGCGGTGTAATAGTGGGGAGCCGTGCCGCCCCGGTTGTCATTTAAGATTAGCTCATGCGGAGGGAGGGGGTGCTGGTGTCTTGGCTTCTGCCAAGGCAGATGGTTCATTCGGAGCAGGTGGAGTTGGCAGATTTCTCGCATAATCCAGTCGCCTGACCTTCTGGCACGAGTATTGACTTTATTTTTGGGACGATTGTCACCATCTGAGACTCGTTCACAATTCTCATCTTCCCCCTTTGCTACATTGTCCTAATTTAGATTTCTCTTTGTTTGTAGTCCAAACCAGCTGACCAAAGAAATGGTGATGGAGAAGCCAAGTGCCCAGCTTGTCGGGCGAGAGTTTGTCCGACAGTACTACACACTCCTCAATCAGGCCCCTGACTTCCTTCACAGGTAATCCTGCATTAGTACTTTCCTACTTCCGTTTCGTTATACAGTGGTGTGCTGTAAGCACGTTAAACTCGGGTGATAAACGATTGTGTGCAATGCATTCTTTTTTTAAATAGATTTTATGGAAAGAACTCTTCTTACGTACATGGAGGTTTGGACACCAGCGGGAAGCCAGCGGAGGCAGTTTATGGGCAGGCTGTAAGTACCCGACCTGGCAGGCGTCTTATTCACCGCATCATAGATTTAAAGATTATTAGCAAGAAGTGTTTTGCAATTTGTGTCCAAGTTTGAAAATTGCCCATCCGAGTTAATATTCTATGTTTGCTGTAATGGAGGTGCACCGCTTCAAATGCTGGCTTGTATGGTGTAAAACATTAACTCTTGTCTGCTGGTTTATGATTTCTGTCCTGTTTCTGACTGTTCTATACTACTATGCCTCTTTAAATTGGTTCTCAGGGGACACCAAAAGTGTGGATTAGAAATGGTATAGGGTTGGAAGGCTGTGGCTTCGCTTTGGACAGTGTAGGGTTGTCAAAGTAAGATTTCAGATGGACTGTTGATCCCAGTGAGAGATTCTGGTGGACTGTGGATCAGAAAAAAAGATGAGTGTAGCAGCATCAACTGTTACAGGTTGATGTAGAAGAGGATGAGGTTTTTCCAGAAAAGGCATTGTGCAGTTTAAAGCGACATAGGCAGTAAATGTGTGTCAAATGGCAAAAACAGCTTTAATATGCGTGACATGCTTAGACACTTCAGAAATGTGTCCTAGCATGTTGCAGCAGCTGGCTTATTGACTTACTGCTTCAGGCTAAGTGTTTCGATGAGACTGCACGCACACTTAATGCGACAGGCTGAAATCACTATTTCACCTTTCAGGAAATCCACAAGAAGGTTATGGCTTTGGGCTTCCGGGACTGCCACACCAAGATCCGGCACGTGGACGCCCACGCCACCCTGAGCGAGGGAGTGGTGGTCCAGGTCATGGGCGAGCTGTCCAACAACATGCAGCCTATGAGGAAGTTCATGCAGACCTTCGTTCTGGCCCCGGAGGTAGGCTGGCTTAATTACCCCCCCCCCCCCCCACCCCCCCCGGTTGCCTTCATCAAGAATTCAGCACCGTGAAGCGACTAAGTTTAAGATTTTGGAAGTTTAATGGTGGCTCGTACTTGCCAATATGCTGCCAATACACACCATGGAAATGGGGCTCTTGTAGATGCAGAAGCTCCTTGTCATGTGAGATCTCTAGCGCCCCCCTGCTGGCAGAGCCAGATGTGGCTTCTACAGTCGAAGTTGGCACAGACTAACCTCAAGGACAGGCTGTTTCGCTAACACAGTCTATGATTGGCTGCCTTTCCCAGGGAACCGTGGCAAACAAGTTCTACGTACACAACGACATTTTCCGTTATCAGGACGAGGTTTTCGCCGATTCTGATTCCGAGCCTCCGGAAGGTGAGATGGTTGGTTAAAATCAAATTGTGCTGGATGTGTGTCTCTGCTTCTCTGTCCTGCGAAGCTCTGGAGGATGTTCAGTCAACACTTTTATTTGCAGAGTCTGAGGAAGATGTGGAGGAGCTGGAAGAGAGGGCTAACTCGCCAGAGGGTGTACAAGAAGAATCTGCAGAATTCTACCACCAGACACCATGGTATGTGACCTCCATTCTGGCTGTTTTGAAGTATCGTGCTGTTTATGCTGATAATTTGTGAAAATGGGTGAGATGATGCATTTGACTGTTTTCACGTGGCTTAATTGAACCCGATATGAACCGGTGAAGTAGATCATTTAGAATGAGGATTCTGTCCAGCAGGCACCTGCACGCGGACCTTCTGGCCCCGCATGGCTTGCCTCAGTTATAAGTAGCTGACTAAAGCGTGTGCTGTTTCAGTGTGGAGCCGGAGGACACCGTCACCCCTGAGCCTGAGCCGGAGGCAGAACCTGTGCACGACCCTGAGCCGGTAGCAGAACCGGAGCAGGTCACCGCGGAACTGAAACGGGAGCTAGAATCCGCACCCGAGCCCCCCGTGGAGGAGCAGGCAGAGAAGTGCCCGGCCTCCCCCACCCCCGCAGACCCTCCACCTGCCATGCCGGAGGAGACTAGGGTATGTTCACCCCACTGCTCAGCAAGACTGCCAACAAATGGACCAGTTAAATTAATCCCTTTACTGAGTTGGTTTATATTTAGCTTGGGAGTTCAGCCGGAATCCTCCTCCAATGCTCCTAGGTTCCACTTTCTAAGCGTTTGCCATGACGCATGCTCATTGGTCAGGTTACAGCTTGATAAAAGCGATCGACGCCGCCCTAAATAGGCGGCCGCATGCCGAAATTAGGGCGGCTTTTCCGGCTGGTGTCGAGTGTCGATAATGGCTCCGGTTTCCCTTGAAGCATTTCGTTTAGGGCGGTTGGCCTCGTAGTGGGGAGGTGGTGGTGCGTGAGGGCGAGGTCAGAAATTCACCGAGAATGCTGGGAGTGGTAGGGTAGAAATGTGTCATTCCACGTTCAATAGTCTAGCAGGATCCGTACTATAACTTCACTGGTTTCTGACGTGCTTTAAACAAACCATGTTTTCCTAGAACGTTGAAATGTTGAAATACCTGTCGGAGGTTTGAGTTGTCTGTAAATGAGCAGATGTTTTGGTTTTACCTCCGTCTGAAACTGATCAATCTGAATTGTATCTGAATATCGCCTAGTAGGGTTAGATAAAGCCTAGCGAGTTAAGTTCTGCTTCCGGCCTTGCCATGTCACACGGTCGCACTAGAGGTCTGTTCTCATCGGTATCACTGATTTCCTGACTTGTCCACAGCCTTTCTCCTGGGCCTCTGTAACCAGTAAGAATATTCCGCCTGGCGGTGTGGTCCCAGTCTCAGGAATCCCACCTCATGTGGTGAAAGTCCCAGCAGTACAGGTATGCTCCGCGTGTCACCAGAGTGTTGCCATGGTGGTTGGGTGGATTTTGGTGAGGTTCTGGGTCTTGAGAAATATTATGGTCTTTGTGCAGTGTCTCATAAATGTAAATTGTGAAGTTTTGTTGCTGTGCACAGCAACAATCTGGTTATTCTGTTCTGGTTAGAAATAATGTGTTCAAAAGTTCAACACTGTATATGGCATCTTTACATATACTTTGACATTTTGTATGATTTTATTTTTGGCTTTAATTGTATTTATTAATGTACCTTAGGGTTGTCTTACAGGTAACTTTGCTGTGTTACACAATGACAAAAGCGCTTGAAATACTTGAATAATCTGATTTTATCGTCAATTGTCGTAGCCCCGGGTGGAGGTGAAGACGGAAGCCCAGAGTGCACCACAGAGACCCCAGCGGGATCAGCGGGCTGGGCCCCGTGAGCAGAGGGCAGGGCCTCCGCCAGCGCACAGAGGCCCTCGGCCTGGAGGTATGCGCTGCCCCCTGCTTCGTTTCCTGGATCCTGACGCCTTCGCTGCCCCTGTTCATGTTAGAGCGCCGTTGCTCTCTTGTAGCTCGCGATGGTGAGGCGGGCGAGGCGGGCGTGGCGGAGGTGCGCCGCGTGGTGAGGTATTCCGATAGCCAGCAGCTGTTTGTGGGCAATGTGCCGCATGACGTGGACAAGGCCGACCTCAAGGAGTTCTTTGAACGTGAGTTGGGGTCACTTTAAGTCTTGATTCCCCCCCCCCACTAATCTTCCTGTTACTCACCTGCTGTGTTTCCGGAACCTCCTAGAATATGGCACCGTTCTGGAACTACGGATCAACAGCGGCGGCAAGCTGCCCAACTTTGGATTCGTCGTGTTCGACGATTCAGAGCCCGTGCAGAAAATCCTCAGCAGCCGGGTACGTTTCGGGTCGTTCCTTTCTGGAGCCGGCCGCCGCGGATGCTTCCGGCAGGTGTAAGCCCCGCCCTGTCTGGCAGCGCGGTTTTAGTGTTGGCGGTTTCGTTTCAGCCCATCAAGTTCCGCGGAGACGTCCGCTTGAATGTGGAGGAGAAGAAAACCCGTTCGGCCCGGGAGGGGGAACGTCGGGACACCCGGCCCAGGGGCCCCGGTGGCCCGCGGGACCGACCCGGAGGCATCCGGGGCCCGCCGAGCCGTGGGGCCGCGGCCCAGAAGCCCAGCTTCGGTGCTGGGCGAGGGACCGGGTCCGGGGACAGCCGCTACAGCGGCCAGCGCCAGTGACGGGCTTCTGGCATCGCCCGCGCTCTGACCCGAGGGGCACGGGTGACTTCTGGCCCAGCTTATCTCATCTTCAGTTCTGGGGTTTTATGATCCCAACCTGATTTGGACTTCTCTTCTCTTCTGGCTGGTTTTTAAGTTCTGAACTTGTAATTACGAGGGGGGAGGGGGTACAGCTACTTGAATCGACAACCTGGACTGGTTTTAACGTTCTCCTGTTTCTTAAAGGAACGTGTTTTTACTACTTGGGCAATCCTGTGTATTGCTACCTTCCCCTCTCAAGCACAGAATATTTTCAACACAAAGCTAAATGGTATCTGACAGGCAGCATTTTAACAACTGAGCTAATGAATGAACCAAATTCGACTTTTAATGCAAACTTTTTTTTTTTTTTCAAGGTCAAACCACTGTCTGGTTCATAATTAGGTCTAAATGATTTCATTGTTTTTGTAAAAACAAATGGTTGTGCCTTCTATTTATCCCATTCCACTTATGTACAAATAAAGTGTAGATTTGCTTTGGCGTCTATTCCCAGTTTGAAATGAGCCCTTATTGCTGCTTTTACTGATCTGCCATGAAATGGATTCTTCTGTCCGTTTAAAAGTGAGTATTTTACTGCTTTTTTTTTTTTTTTTGGAAAAGAAAATAATTACGGTTATAACTGAACCACTAGGAAAGGGGAGGGTTCAGTTCTCTCAGGCCTAAGATGGCGAATTGGTCTTGCTTCATGCTGAAATGTGTCTTTTGGCCACTAAGAACGAGGTGGATGAGGTTGGATCAGGGTTCCCTACTTCTGGTCCAGCCGGGCCACTGTCCAGCAGTCTGGAGATTTCTGGAGAACTCCTCTTAATCAGCTAATTTATTAGGCTTAGTACAGTGGTGCCTGTGGTTCACAAACACAATCCGATCCAGGAAAGTGGTCGTGAACCAATTTGTACACGAACCAAGGCAGTTTTTCCCGTAAAGCATTGAAATTCGATTAATTCGTTAACGTCTACCAAATTTGTTAATTTTCTGGTTTTTATAGTAAAAACTTTAAATAAAAACACAATATAGTGTGGCGACAGGCAGATCGAGGCATCGCCGGAGCAGAGTGACATGGAGACCTGCTGGGAAATCAACCTCTTTATTAACAGTCCTTAACCCTTGTATTGTTGTTAATGTTAATGGCTGCATTTCCCTATTGTCGCACGTGTGGTTGCCCGTGTCTTGTGTGTACCCGGTCCGATCCTCGTGTGTATTTAGCGTGTGTAAATCTCCCACCGTGTGTGCGTCTTGCAGTTTGGCGTCTGACACCATTGTGTTTCCCATCTGTGTATTTGGGTTTGGTGCCTGTTGTGCTCCTATTTACAATTCCACATGGGGCACGCGGGGTCATGCAGCCCGCCAGTACTACACTAGTATTAAAAAAAGGAATCTCGTTGAAGGATCTGTTCGCCGACCAAATTTTGTACATGATCCGTTGCATTTTTTTCACGAAATTTGTGGTTTGTTGACCACAGCGTTCATGAACCGCAGGCACCATTGTAGCTGCCTTTTGAGAGGGAGATATGCAACCTGTGTTGGATTCTGGCCCTCTAAGACTGCATTTGGAGAACCCTGGTTTAGGTGAATCAAAGGTACTGCTAAAAGCTAATTTCATTGAAACTCCTTTGTGACAATCTGGTGATGGAACAGGGAGCAAAAATGTGGACCGTCTGGAAGGGAGCAACAACACGGACGGTCTGTGACTCCCCAAGGACTGTGTTGGGAAACACTGCTTTAGAACCTCTGGAGTGGCTTTAAAGTGGCCCTCACAGTAATGTTTGCTTCTGGAAAGTAAGTCTGAGCTGCGCTGTGTCTCACTTAATGATAATGGTGTGGATGCGGAGAGCAGAAATGTCAAACTGCAGAAGCCAAACGATTACTCCTTTGGGCAAAAGTCTTTTCTGGACTGAGGCTTGCACATTTGTTTCTGTATGATGGTTAAAGTGTACAGCAATGCAAATCAGGAGTCTGTTGTTTGCATTATCTCCGTTCTGAACTTGTTCAGATGAAGAATGACCCTACAGCCAGTACGAAGCAGTTGTGTCCGTATCTGTCTCTTGGATCTAAGGGTAAAGGTAATGCAAAGAGAATTCAGATCCCTTGAAAATGATCAGCCAGATTTTTGGAAGTGATTCCATGTATTGTGAACCACTCTAAACATTGTTACACATATTCAACCATTGGTAAAACGCCTTGTCTATAGATAAGCAAGCCTTTCATCATTGGCCAGAACACTCAGTATGTCAATCTGTCAATGCAATATTCACTATAAATATTTACATTGATCATCAGAGACAAAACGGTTTCTTAGGTTGGATGGTTGTTGTACACTTTGAATAAATACAGTCTAGGTCAGTTTTTTTTGTGTATTTTTAATCTCAAGATTACACAGATCTTCTTGAACTGAGCAACAATAAACAAAATCTGAATTCCAACAACCTTGACAATTTTTCGAAAACAGGTAGGGGATTTTTCTCATAAAATTTTTAATTATAATTTGAATACATATTGTGACATTTCAATAAATATTTATATACAGATAGAGCAGAAATTTTACATTCCTTTTTTCTTCAAATAGCTCACATTTTTGAACAAGCCAAAAATATCTGCCATTGTTATTTTTTAAATATTCTATACATGCAAAATATTAGCTGTTTTCCAGAATTATAAATGGAACTGAAGAATAAAGTGGGACTCTGGTATTATGGCAAAGTAAGATGTGCACTTTGTGCCAAGACACATTGTAAGCAAATTAAAATGACAAAATTAAGGCCATACTTACTTGTGCAAAGTAAAACGCCTTTTCTTTTCAATAGATGAAAGCCAGCAATGAATGATTTCAGGGACATTAGTTTCAGCAATTCCATTCACCTCAGTTGTAGCAATCAATATTAGACGTTTTGAAACACTGGACTTTGCGTACTCAGATTCTTTTTTATATAATAAGAATTAATGTAACGACATTGTGAGGGAGATTACAAAAACGCGTGTTTCTCAAATCAAATACAGCCTTTGTGCTCTGAGAACAAATATTTAAAATCAATTTGTATTTTTCCAATACATATACGTTTGCATATATTTTTCCATATCGTGAAATCATCTCGTTGTTAACGATGTCTGAGAGCCTTGGAAAATGTGGCATCTTTTAACACCTTTTCAGTTATTGGGCGGCAGTATACAGTTACAATTATGGCCTACTGATATTTTTACCTGTAAATCTGGTGGTGGCGGGGGGCACAATTGACCAAACTAGAACAGGTGCAATCAAACAAAATCAGCGTTCATGTGAAGGAAAGGGTGTGGACCTTTGAATAGCCCGCCTGTTAATGCCCTTATTGTGTTCGTGTGTGTTTGTATATGTACACAGCGCTGTGTTTAGGAACTGGGTCACATGAGGGTAACTGGTCATGATGTTTCGTCAGATTAATATGGATGGGTCACGTTTATTTAAGAGGGACGCTGTTATTGGAGTTGGTTTTAAGTATAGTAAATAAATATAATAATATCGCTTGTGTGCGTTAATGTCAGAACCCCAGCCCCCCCTTTCAGTCCATTCCAACACACACACACACACACACACACACACACACACACACACAACATTTCACTCTTATTCTCCGCTTAGCTTCGGTATAATTAAGTGTATCATATTAGGGCTACGTTTTAGAAACAATGACATCTGTAGCAGCATTTAGGTCGATGAAATGAAACAAATGTAACTGTGGACTCGGAAGACTGACGGTTCATTTCTCGTTTAGCTGAAATTACCTACGCCATTGTACCGCCTTTGCAGCCAGTTTTAATTTCAGTCTCCGCTTTGCTTTGAGTTATTGATATACATGAATTTAAAAAAGAGGTTTAAATGACAAAAAAATACGACATATTAGTAAACGGTGACTGTCTAAAGGTCCCCCACTGAATGGACAGATGCTGTCAAATGCATATTCCACAATATTCCTACTCTTTTTTTTTTGAGCAACCCTTGTACGTGGGTGAAAATGAATGAATTGCTTTGACAAAATATGAATAAAATAAAATTGGGACAAAATAAACATGTTTATCTTATAAACGTGGAACATTTAATTTTAATGCATGTCCACACTAAGGAAGACGCAGACAAAAGCATAGTAAAATAAATCTTTGGTTTTCAACCAAGTCGCGTGGGGGCAAGACAACTAATTTTGCAATAAGTATAGTAGATCAAAGTCAAACCTAACGTTGCATACCATTTGCCATGCATAGTTAAAACATATTTGAAGTGTTGTTAGCTTTTCGTGGACTTTTGGTCTTCTTTCTCAATTTAAGTCGTCGCCAGAAATCAGCTCGGGAATAGCTGCTAAACGTTTATGTCTCACCGTGTTGTTAAAATCTGGCGTTTAAAACGTAATACTGTTCTGTGTGCATTGCATAGAAATCCCTTAAACAACACTTACATTTTCAGTGTTTTAGGTGTAACCTTTGTTTAAAGATATATTGTAAAATATATCTGAACGACAGCAAATTACACTGTCATAAAATACTTGCTTTTAAAGCCATTTTTAAACCAACCGTACTGAACACGTTACGTATATTTTAACTTGCACGTGGGTGCTTCATGTTTATAGTTAATATTTTCATAAGGGATTAAAGTGATGGGAACAAATAGGTTTTCGGTGGTGTGAAAGGTGGTTTGGGAAACTGCACTACAACCTTAGTAGTGGGAATTGCTGCCTCTACGCTTGATCATGTCCTGAACCTCTATCAAAATAACCATGCCGTCGTAGAACTCCTGACTTTAAATTGAGTCAGTCTTCGTGAAGCACTACTGCTGTGATGCATCGCATGGAGACATAGGAAGCACGTAGGGCCGATGGGCGCCTTGTGATCGGCGAGGCAAAGACACCGGCAGCTTATGCCGTCTTAAAGCAGCAAATTGACACTAAACGCGAAACAAACGTGTGAACGACTAAACCGGTTTAAAATGCAACAGTCCTGACATACTTAATCATACCAAGGTACCGAAAGCAAACAAAAAAAAAGGTTTGGCATTACAGAAAAAGTGAGGTAAACTTGGCACAGCGTTACAAATACCAAATAAATAATTTAAATCAAGAATCGACAAAGGAACACGTGTATATCGACGGCTTGTTTAAACAGCATATCTTTGATCCACATAGGTCAAGCTTTCGATTAGCTCGGTGTTAACCCCGTTAAGTTTCAGTTTTTGGCTAGGGATAGAAAGGTGTGGTGAGGGGAAGCGTTGACAACT